CCTGCATAAAAACGTATTCGTCAGGATTTTTCGTATGCCTGGAAATCCCGAATTGCATTTGTAATACGATAAATAATATAATAATTTCTTAGATTTTATGAGATCAACTAGACTAAGTTTAGCATTTCGGTAGAATCATTCACGTACTACCGACGATTTGTTCATTTAACTGTTTATTTTGAGAGCAGTGGTAGAGCCACGCGGCAGCTTTGCTGTTGCACGTATGGGCCGGCTCAAACCGGGGTGGTACCACGACCTCACAGAATACCGGCGTGAAGTGGAAGCTCCGCTTCCGCGTTTCGTCTGGTGAAGAATGCAGGTGGCCGGAGGCCCAAATCCCCCCCCCCCCCCCCATCAACCTGGTACCGGAATTAAATGATAATAGACTACCCCAGGAGGGTACCAGCACCCCAGGAGAATCCCTCGCTGGGCATCCACGACCATGTTTCTCCACTTCTGAGCGTGGGTGCTCAGGCTGCCCAGCGTATTTTGGGAGGGGGGAGGGGGAAAAATTCCGCTCAAGACTACAACTGCTCGGGGCAAACGGAGCAACAAGACCAAGGCGACCCCTGCCACGCTGTCCGTGAATTTCTACAATATCAGGGGACTTCACTCTAACCTAAACGCCGTCCACTACCATCTCGAGACGGCGAGGCCGGCTCTGCTCTTTCTGACCGAGACGCAGGTGTCCTCTCCGGCTGATGTCTCGTATCTCTCCTACCCGGGGTACAAACTGGAACACTCCTTTGTTCCTCGGGCTGGAGTTTGCGTTTACGTTAGAGAGGACATCTGTTCTCGACGCCTCGTCAGACTTGAAGGTTCGGACCTGTCCATCCTTTGGCTACGCGTAGACAGCGCCGCCCATCCGCGCGTCTACGGGTGCCTCTATAGGTCCCATAGCGGTAATGCCGAAACAGACCGACTCGTCGACCACGTCCAAATGGCTACAGATTCGTTGCTACAGCAGATCCCCTCCGATCCAGAGATCGTGATCCTCGGCGACTTTAACGCCCATCACGCCGAATGGCTTGGTTCACGTCTAACCGATCATGCGGGGAGATCTGTTCATGATTTTGCCTTGGCATATGGTCTGACACAACTGGTTACTTCGCCTACGCGGATTCCAGATGTGGAGGATCATGCACCTTCCCTGTTGGACCTTCTGCTGACCTCTCACCCGGACGGATATCAGATTTCCGTCGACGCCCCTTTAGGCTCCTCGGACCATTGTCTTGTTCGGAGTGTGGTGCCACTCACGCTGAAATCGCAGTTTCATTCTAGCGGTGTTTGGCACTATATCAGCCGTGGTGGGATGCGGTCTTTCTTTGCATCCTACCCTTGGGAGCGGGTTTGCCCCCGACCCCAAGTAGTTTCGGATTCTGTCGCTGATGTGGCACTTCTGGGTATGAAACATTTTATTCCTTCCTCTGTAGTGCCCACTGGAGGCAAATCTCAGCCATGGTTTGGTCGCTCCTGTAAAATAGCATCATGCTATAAGCAGGAGTGCTACCAAGCCTTGGCTGACGCATCAGCGTCCCGGGCTGTAAGCACCAGCGCTCTAAAAAAGAAGTATAATTCCGCCTCTAGGTCCTTCAAAAGAGTCATTGCCAAGGCAAAGTCAGAGCACATAGGCAGAATTGGCGAGAAACTAGTTCGCATTCCTTCTGGAACCCGTGCATTCTGGTCTCTCGCCAAGGCTTTCCAGGGGAATTTCTGTCAGCCATCTTTTATATCTCTGCACAGGGAGGACGACTCACTGGCCCATACCGCAAAGGAGAAAACCGATCTTCTAGGCTCTTTCTTTGCGTCCAACTCGACTCTCGATGACGGGGGGGAGTACGCAGCCGACCATCCCGCGGTGTGAGGGCTCCATGCCGGAAGTGCAGTTCACACAGCGCTCGGTTCGCAAAGCACTCCTCTCCCTGGACATCCACAAGTCGAGTGGGCCTGACGGAATCCCCCCAATTGTGCTGAGGACGTGTGCTCCAGAGTTGGCACCGGTTTTAACGCGTCTTTTCCGGTACTCCTACTCTCTAGGCGTAGTCCCGAAATCATGGAAGACGGCTTTCGTCCACCCGATCCCTAAAAAAGGCAACTGCTCAGACCCGTCCAACTACCGGCCTATCGCCATCACCTCCTTGTTCTCCAAAACAATGGAGTCCATTGTAAACTGCCAGCTCATGAGGTACCTTGAGGATCACCAGCTGATTAGTGACCGTCAATACGGTTTTCGCCGTGGTCGGTCAGCTGGTGATCTTCTGGTCTACCTAACTCACAGATGGGCGGAGGCAGTAGAGTCCAAGGGGGAGGCATAGTTTGGACATTGCGAAGGCCTTCGATCGGGTTAGGCACAAAGCGCTTCTTTCGAAGCTTCCCTTCCTATGGGCTTCCCGAGAAATTGTGCGATTGGATCACCAGCTTTCTTGCAGATCGGGGCATCAAGGTCGTTGTAGACGGTGCAAGCTCCGATTGCAAGCCTATTAATGCTGGTGTTCCACAAGGCTGCGTGCTATCGCCAACGCTGTTTCTTCTGCATATCTATGATATGTTGCAAACCCGTAACATTCATTGCTATGCAGATGACAGCACTGGTGATGCTCTTTACACCGGCCGAGCCAATATTTCTCGGGAAAATGTCCCGAGAGCCGGGACAAACTTGTGTCTGAAGTGGAGTCCTTGCGAGTCTCGGATTGGGGGCGACTAAATCTAGTCCAGTTTAACCCCCAGAAGACACAAGTTTGCGCGTTAACCGCTAAAAAGAACCCCTTTGTCGTATCTCCTCAGTTTCAAGGCACTCCCCTTGTTGCCTCAGCCAGTATCGGAATCCTCGGCGTTGACATATCGAGTGACGTGCAATTTCGTGGCCACTTGGAAGAGAAGGCCAAATTGGCCTCTAAAAAGCTTGGCGTGCTCAGCAGAGCGGGAAAGTATTTCATGCCGGCACACCGCCTGCAACTTTACAAGGCGCAGGTTCGGCCGCACATGGAATACTGTTCCCATCTCCGGGCTGGGGCTCCCCAGTACCAGCTCCTTCCACTTGACCGCATCCAGCGCAGAGCGGCTCGAATCGTCGACGACCGAGTGCTTTCCGATCGGCTCGATTCACTGGCACTGCGAAGAGATGTTGCATCTCTTTGCATTTTCTTTCGCATATACCATGGTGAGTGCTCTGAGGAATTGTTCGGATTAATCCCAGCCGCCAAATTTCGTGAACGCACTACGCGGCAAACGTCCCGATACCATCCACACCATCTGGATGCTTGGCGGTCCACCACTGTACGTTTCAAGAGGAGTTTTCTTCCGCGTACAACCTCTCTGTGGAATAGTTTACCACCAGCGATTTTTCCGGACCGATACGACCTGGGGACCTTCAAGAAAAGAGCGTACTCCTTTCTAAAGGGCCGGACAACGCACCTGCAATTCCCCTGGTGTTGCGGTTGATCATGGGCGGCGGTAGTCACTTAACATCAGGTGAGCCGCATGCTCGTTTGCCGCCCTCTTCTATTAAAAAAATGGTGTTTTTCTTGTTTCGAGGCACCTTCTAACAATTATAAGGTACGATTAAGTCTATTTAGTACGTAAGTTCTAAAATGTAGGTATCTATCTTAAAAATAGTAGTCAAACGTATATTCTCAAATAAACATGCAATAAACTTATTATTTTTATAGGAAGTAACATATTAAAATAATAAGTTTTTTAGGATATTTATATAAAACGCAAAGGTTATATTATGTTCTAACTACGTTCACGCTTGCGGATATAAAACCGCGAAGTTTTACTAGTTTTATTATCAAAATAATAATTGACAACTCTATCCCCAGGCAAACTTTTGTCGATTTTTCATAAAAAGCGACAACAACTGTTTGTCTACATTTTACCAACTTTAACTCGTTTTAGAAGAACAAAACATAGAGAGTAGGATAGAAGACTATTTTTCATTTATAAGGTTCATCCAAACCGTAAAAATAGGTTAAAATAAGTACTCACACAATAAAATTTTAAAGTGCAGGCAAAATATCAACGACCACAAGTTGCACAATTCTGACGTTCACAGACATTTCACAACTTTTTGCCAAAACCAAAAGTTGCGCGTTGGCATGCGACAATAATCGTACCCTAAAATAAAGTCTCTAGCTGAAATAGCCTACTAATGAAATCCAAATGATCGGTTAGGCAAAGTAAGGCGAGGTAAGTCAAGTTAGGGCATTTCACGGTAGTCGCCGAGTGGCAGTGTGCCGCCACTACACGTTGCAATTCCTGGGGCATAGAGCAGCACAGCTCGGGTTTTCTCTGCGTGATAAACTTAGAAATGAGGATGCCCGCAATAGAACCAGAGTGACCGACATAGCCCAACTGTTTAATAAGCTGAAGTGGCAATGGTCCGGCCATATAGCTCGAAGAACCGACAACCGGTGGGAAAAAAAGGTTCTCGAGTGGCAGCCTCGCACCGGTAGGCGTAGTGTAGGGCGACTGCCCTCTAGATGGAGTGACGACCTGGTAAGACATGCAGGAAGTCGATGGAAGCAGGTAGCTCAGGATCGTGCTTTGTGGCATACCTTGGGGGAGGCCTATGTTTAGCAGTGGACTTGTGAAGGGCTGTAATGATGATAATATTTAATCACGTTATTGCTATTTACTTCTTTTTAAAATAAAAACGTGTGTTTCGTAGTGAAAAGTTTTTTGTGTGCGCCGATTTCCCTCCGCAAAAAATGACAACTTGACAGACAGTTCTGTATCGCGGAAAAACGCTATGGCTACTCCGTACTTCTTACATTGACTTTATATATATATATATATATATATATATATATATATATATATATATGAAATCATTGACTTCTTATTAGTTTGTGGCTACGCTCCTTCGATCAGCCGGTTGCCCATATTGTTCTAAGTTCTGGGACAGTGAATTATGAATCATTTTTTTGTTTATTTTTAATATGAAATAAATACTCAATTTAAAAAATAATATACTTATTATTTATGCTAAATATCTTATGTTATACTGTGGGATCAAACACAACTGCACTGAAAGTGATAAGTTTGGTTTTTTCATTTCTTATGAACATATAAAATGGAGAATCTGCGTAGAATAGTTCAGATGTCCTTGCTAGTATACCGCTTGTGGCTGCCACTGCCTCAGTACCGTACTCTGTAATAAATCACCAAATTTATATGTACACAGGTTATAGGGGTTGTTGAACCTTGACTTCATTCAACATTTCAAAATTGTTGAATAAGCTAAAACTAAAATAATACATTACAGTCATTAGTTGCAATGTCTTAATGAGACGATAATGATAAGCAATGCCTATAACTTAGGCCTTGGCACATAATCCCTACCTTTCTAACTTCAAGACGTTAATTGTATAACGGTATGTATCAGTACTTGCGCATCGGGTATACGTCACGACATCAAATTTATAACACGTCTGCGCGGCATTTTCCGAGGCTATCTAACTACGCATCAGCATCAATGTGTCATTATGACGGTAACATTTTAACAATCACAACAAAACGAGACTCGAAATAATCTATTTTTGCACCACAACACAACGTTTGTTACGTTTCCATGACGGCTAGAGCAGCGGTTTTTGAGCACTATGCCCCACATTCGCGATAAGTATATGATTTCATTATGAAAACTTAGTAAAAGAAGGAAATTGATTTTTTTAATTCAATATTCAAGATTTTAAATCCTTTTTACAACGTGAAGAATATGATATATGAAATAAAGGGATGATAAAGTACATTGCGGAATAAAGGAATAGTTTTAAAAATGCTATCTTTTTGATGAATGCAATAATTTCCTCCTCCATCAGCGCCATTACGTAAAGACACAGTACACCTTTATGTTAAGTAAAATTTAGTCTATGTTCTAAGTTGAACCCTTATGTTGTACTTGAACCAAAATATGATGATGGCTTCATAGTGCAGTGGCTTAGTACCTATTGAAGTGCAGCGCTGAAGGCCGCGGGTTCGAATCCCGCACGGAACAAATATTTATATCGCCTAGGTTGAAGGATCTGAATGATAGTTCTTTTGCAATTTATGTAAATTGCCAACACGATTCGTGAAAAATCCTTGTGTGGTTTAAAAAAAATCGTTACTATTCCTTCTGTATTGGTTTAAAGGTTCTTTAGCCGTAAACCTCTTTGTTTAAGCAACTTCAAATAAAAAAGTCTGCAGATGCGTTGTCTTAAAATTAAGATGTAAGGTTTTTTTTCATACCTATTAGGTACACAACAGAATTTTATTTTTTATATTAGCAGAATTAGCAGGTGGTAGTGGTAGAGCCATGCTGCAGCTATTTTAGTAGTGTAGTTGTAGCATGAATGGGTCGGCTCGACCGGGGTAGGACCACGCTCTCACAGAATACCAGCGAACGAACAAAGGCGTTGGCTCCACCCCTAACAATGACCCATCTCACTTTGTCAATATTGAAAATGTTCGAGAGACATACTCAGTAGCTCAGTACCCATGTCTTAACAAAAACAGTCTATAGATGTGTAAAAGACATGTGACATCGACCAATTCACACCGGGTCCGCGTGGTAGATTACTTCTCCTTTCCACAGAGAGGAGGCCTCTGCGTACCGCCCCATAAACGTCTATTTTCTGGATGTTATCGCTGTTATGCTATGTTATGCGACTCTTACATCTTCATTTCACTCAGAGCTCGCGGCCTTGCAGGCCATATGCTTGTTGGACGAGATTGGCAAATTGTTCGACAGGATAGTTGCCACTCGGCTCAATAGACATCTATCGTGTGTCGGTCCTGATTTGACTGATAGCCAGTTTAGGTTTCGACGGGAGCGTTCCACTGTAGACGCGATTTATGCGCGTCCTCTCCTTGTCGTAACAAACAGTATCTTGTCGTAACAATATCACGTGATCATCACGTATACCCTTACCTGCAAGGTATTATCAGGGACTACTTACGCGACAAGTACATCCTGTACATGGGGCAAGATGGTAGGAAGATCTGGAGGGAAATCAAACGTGGATTTCCACAGAGCTCGGTGCTGGGTTCACTACTGTGGAACCCCGCGTACGATGCGGTTCTGCGAGTCGACCTTCACGATGGCGTAAATACCGTGTGCTATGCCGACGATACATTGGTGATTGCCAGCGGGATAACTTTCGAGAGGACCAAGAAGCTCGCCGAGCTTGGGGCGGAAGTCGTTGTCGCCAAAATTCACGAGTTGGGGTTAGAAATATCACCTAACAAGACCGAGGCTCTATGGTTTCATAACTTACCACGGGGCAGGGAACCCCGTTCCGAAGTTCGTGCATCCGCGTGGGTGGGTATGAAGAGTCGGGAGGTACATGAAGTACCTAGGCCTCCACCTGGACCGTCGCTGGATCTTCGAAGAACATTTCGAGCGCCTAGTCCTCGGGATTGATAGGGGGGCGGGTGCTATGCATAGACTACCCAATCTAGGGGGACCGACGGAGGAAGTACGTCGCCTCTACGCGGGAGTTATACGGTCCGTAGCTCTGTATGGAGCGCCTGTATGGGCAAAAAGGCTGGCCATTCGACGCTGTAGAACTAAAATCTACAGTGTGCAGCGGAGGATGGCCATACGGATCGTACGAACATACCGTACTGGCTCGCTTTCCACCACTAGATATACTGACGGAGATGGACGCGAGGAATTAAACGGGGGGAACGACAAAACGCCCTGGCAACATGGCGCACTTGACTCGAGGAGCGCTATGAACGCAAACGCGTCATTGGAGCAATCCAGCCGGTCTTCGAAGCCTGGATGCAGCGATGCGTAGGAAGACTCACCTACAGACTTACACAGATAATTACCGGGCACGGGTGCTTCAGTGATTACCTGTGCAAGATTGGACGCGAGGCGACAGTGAACTGCTTCCACTGCGGACTCCGCTTCCCACACGTTCGCGGTATGCCCAACGTGGGAACGGGAGCGGGCGATTCTGGTAAACTGCATTGGATGGAACCTCTCCCTGCCAGCAGTCGTGTCGGCGATGCTGAACGAGGACTCAGTTTGGAGGGCTGTAGCCACCTTTTGTGAATCCGTTATGATTCAGAAGGAGGCTTCTGAGCGAGATCGGGAGAGGGCGGATCCCGCTCGGAGACGACGTCGTCAAGGCGTTAGTCACGGCCCTTCTCTCGAAAATGGTGTCCCCCTACCGCAAACGGGGCCTCCGGGGTTGCAGACGTTCGGGGTGGGGGCCTCGAGCGCCTAGTTATGTAACCCCCGAGGAGGACGATGACTCGGAAGTGATCTCGAGATATCGTGGTAGCACTGCGAGGGTGCTGGGGGCAGCAAGTATTGCCCCCGGGACGTGCTATTAGTGTAGCAAAGCGATGGAGGGGCTCCGGTTGCGTTCCGAACAGAGATCCCGGGACGCCTCGTATACGCTGATGGTGACCACCGTGGGGTTTTAGCCGGTAGGAGTCCGGCGTAACCTTCTTGTTGCCCCCGCAACGAATGGTATCCATGCGGATTTCCCCACGAAAAAAAAAGTTACTATCAAGTGTCATGTTATGTTATTATCGTGTCTCGTGTTAGGTTAGGCTCTCTACTCCCCCCCCCCTGAACGGGTTCCCGCCTTGTCGTAGCGGGGGGGCTTAGTAGCCGTGGCTTGGTCACCCGCGTTGAACAAATAGTAGCCCACATGGCCGGCCCGAGGTGGCCACTCCGAGTGGGCTTGGCGAACCCACTTCGGATGTGTGCTGTTGGGCTGTGGTGAGAGGGTTGTCCTCTTCCCCTACCGCTGCAGCTGAGGTGGAGTCGCGGAGGAAGAGGAGTGTTGGTATGGCGTTGTGCAACTCGCCCTATCCTCCGCAATTCAAACGGAGCCGAACCGTTGATGCGATGGTGGTGGGGCTGCGGGAGGAGAGGAGTGTCGGTATTGCTAGGCGCCGCTCTCCCTACCCTCCGCAATCTTGGTTGGCGGCGGAGCCATAAATCTGATCTGCCGCTGGGGTCAACAAGGCTAGTGCTTCTGAATGCTCGTTTTTCTTGCCCCAATGGGCTTCCCACATCGAATCGGTAGTCCTTTACGCAGGTGTGGTTGGAGGCCGTGGAGGAAGGCGCGCCTTGTGTTCTGGTGTACCTTACTTGAAAGAAGGAGAAAGGGGGGGGGGGGAGGCTTATGCGACGAAAGTGGAACATCATGAGGTTTTAGTCGGTACGAGTCCGACATAACCCGTCCTAGCCTCCGCGACGCGGGTATGCGCAGGCATTTCTCCATGTTACAAAAAAGGTTACGTTTTCTTTCGCACGTAGATATCATAATTATTGTGATAACTCCAACTCGTGCGGCGTTAACGATGAATCGTATTTAGTTTTATGTAAAGAGGAGCTACTTGCGGAAAATAAAAAATGGTGGATTGTAAATAGAAAAATAATGGTGCTTTTTTTTTCATTGTTCTTAACTTTTTACTGACAATGTCTTCTTCTGTCGTGTCATAATGAAAGTTACTGTCTATTTAGTGGACTATTCATTATTATAGGTCTGGTTAGTGGTGGATATTTGGACCACTTTTAGTCATTGTCTTTTGTAACAGTAGACCATAGAATACTATAATACACCATAGAATGGTTGTCAACCTTATTTGGTACCAGGATCGGTGTCGCCAGGAGCACACATACAAGCAATTACGTGATATTATAACTACTACAAACCCGATTCGCTGTATAGACAGATTGAGCAAATTTACACATTTAAGACTTTTGATTAATGTTTTTGACACAACAGTATTTCTTTATTTTTGTTTCTAATATTCACAAAATATAAAAAGTTTCGACTTATTGGTTGTAGAATATGTCTCCTTTATTTAAAGTCCATTTCCCGCTGTTCTTTCGACACGTAATTATTGCACAATTCGCCATTTTTTAAATAATTTGCAAACGTGACGCTTGACACGAAAATTGGAAACGATTGTGTTGACATTTATATGTGTGAATTGACATGTTAGTGACATGTTAGTGGCTACACGGGCTCCACTCACTCCCCCGTTCTATTATATATGTATTGCAGTATTCTACGCAGTAGACCCACCTCGAAAAAATCAAGTGTTAAGTGAATGCTTACCATCGATTTTCAAATTAACTTCATGCATTACGGAATCTACATAGACACCTGGATTCATAAGGCTATTAACAATACTCTTAAGGCCTTTTGGTTCTACATCTCCATTATTTATTCTTGATATTAATTTATCTTGGGTTTTGTTAACTTTTGTATTTGTGTCTATCATAAGAGCGAAGTTTGCTTCATTTGGATTAAAAATAGACTTTATGCCAAGGTCTTTCAGCGGTGAATCTAAATTGACATCACTTTTGATTTCCATCTTCGGAAATCTCACTATTGTGTCTACTCGCGCCATTTGATTGATTAAGTTGTCAATTTTAGAGTAATCCAAGCGCTGCATTAAATCAGATAAACTTAGTTCTTTGGACAGTCGAGGTTTAAGTGCGTACATTGTAGTCACACTGTCATTGTACGGGAACGCAATCATATGCAACCCTGTAATGAAATAAATTGAAATTTCTTAACTGCATAAATTCAAACATCTCCTCTAGTTTCTTTTTAATATCCCTTCTTAAAAGAACTTTGAGGCTACTTAATCGAACACTGTGTTACTATGGTCTAGTTACTTTATAGATAAGGTAATCTGAAAGACAGTTAATTATCAGTATTCGTTAATTTATCACATATGTGATAAAAGAAAAAAGGAGGTGAGAGAGGTGTGTCAGGATCGTGCCAAGTGGAATTTCGTAATGTCTGCCTACCCCTCTGGGTGACAGACGTGTGTTTATGTTCTTTGTGTTATCGAGATTTGCCGTGTGGTTGGGAGCATAAGGTGAACCATCATTTCATCTCACCATTGACGTAAGATAAAGAGGCGGCTTAGGGGAAATCCCAAAAGATTTTGTGGCCTTTTATAGATGAAGACACAGGGTTTACAAGGTCTGGCTACACTTTAGTTCTCCAGAACGAAAAGCCGAAATATCAGAAATAAATTTTAAAATGTTGTATGGATATTTCTCCCGTTTATTAATTAAATAATACTTTTTACCGGATAGCTGTGCTTATATATTTGAGAAGACTAAACTTTATTTAATAGTCAAGTAATTTCTGAGACCAACTGCCTCGTTGGTCTAGTGGTTGTGGGAGTGCGAGTCCTTATCATGAGGTCCTAGGTCGGGTCAAAAAATCAGTTATTGAGTCTTTCCATCAATAAATTCTCAGCAGCTGTCCGGAGTCTAGAAGTTGGCGGTGTCTGCCCGGTGCCCGTGCCTCGGAAAGCACCTGTTGGTCCTGCGCCTGATCTCTTTACCGTCCCATCAGACTATGCTTGCGCATATACTTGATCACTGTAATCCTGTCCTGCGCCAATGGCTCCTCTCCGTTGGGCTGGCCGCCGTGACCGAAATTCGGTCTAGAGGACATTTTTGAGACCAATATTTTATTAACTCTCGCCTAATTAATTAATTTAATTATCTTAACTTTAAGGTTGCCATTTGTGTAATCCTGCATTTTTTTTCTGACACTACTTACTAAATAGAAAAATACCTGGCTTTTTACTCGTAAGTTCAGATCAACAAAGAAAAATAGATCAAGATGTTGGTTGCAAATGTTTAAGATGCATACGTGTGCGCGTGTGCATTATTTACATTAAGTTAATCACGATATGATATGTTGGGTACATTTCACATGAGCTTCGTCTATTTTCTTTTGTTGGTCTGAGCTTGTAAAATATAAGAGGTTCTGTTTTTTGTCACAAAAATTGAATATGCGTCAAATATCTGGGAAACTCAAACGACTATCTGGTAACCCTTGTTCGGCAAATTAGTGTTAGTAGTGGACATTGGACAATAATAGAAATGTTAAAAATTACAAACCATCTTTTACCGAAAATATATAGTCGAATTTTCCCCAATTTAACATGACGTCCGCAATAATCGTATCGTTCACTCGCGTAAATGGCATTCTGCAAGATTATTCAGTTTTTTATTTAATTGCGGTTGTAATTATAATACACTAATATGTTATATTGAAGTAAGTACGTACTTTCTAGTATGTTCAGGTATAAAGGACTTTGCCCACTGGCCGCTGAAGTACAATGCGCTCAGTAATACTACTTTGGTATTCATTGGTAATGACTGTTTTAGGAATTGATCTATTCTCCCTTTAGTTTGCTCACTCACCCATCTAAAAAATGAAATATGATTTCCATATGATGATATTCGGGCTGCAAGAAATTTGAAGAATATTTTTAACAATCTATTGCTATCGTGCTGTGTCCAATCAACCGAACTAGATAAACGAGTGAGACAATTCTGCAGCTTGGACTAATTTCATGATTCTGATCCATTACAAACTATAAAAGTTCACTGCTGAACAAAGTCCTTTCACATAGATTGCTTCATAGGGGGATTTTGAGTAGAAAGGTAGTACCATTTCTGGCTCACTGAGTCAGAAGTGGTACAACGTTCGTCGACTCACGATCCTAAAAAAAAGTTTTGGCATGCTCTGATCACGAATCTGCGTAGTCTCCGTTTTTGCGTAGGATGCACGGTTCCGGAGATATGCAGATCAATTAACTCTTATCTAATACATATCTGGTGAGGGCCTCCACCGTCATTAGCGCCCCATTGTTCTTGTCTATTTATCTATTGTTCATTGAATACCGTCATTGTCTATTTTTCCTCGGCGTATGCGTCGGCTTATCAGTGCTATTGTATTATACTTCTTTGTTCCTATTTACAACGCTAATCTGAATCATCAATAAAACACATTACTTAATTATGTTACAATTTTTATTTACAAAATACAAAATCTTATTACTTATTGTCTATAAAATAGGAGCGAAACGTCTCATCCACTAAAATATCATTGTACAATGTGTTCCCTGTAAATATACTCGTAAAACTATGCATTGAACATCCCTGAAACTTATATAGCAAATACATTAAGTAATATTCGCCACAAACTGAAGTCCACTCATTATGAATCCTATCAACATTCCAGTTCCATCTTTTACAATTCCTTTTTAAAAACTCTAGATATCGTACAGGTGATCGTCCATATGAATCAAAATATTGACCGACGTCATTCGTATCGATATATAAAGCTACCCAATGTGACCCTGGTTTATCATCTGTATTCAAATTGCATATTATATACGTTGGTACGTGGGTATACATGGGCAGTCTATTAGCAGCATAAACATTATTTTCTAGACAGGGGTGAATCTTTTTCAGATGTTGTTGTACATCTAGTGTATCCATGATATTACTGCTATTAGTAGATTATTACAGTACCAATCTACTCAATGACTAACATAGGAATGATCAATTATAGTGATTTCTAAATATTAAATCGCATTTCTTTTGTGATATACAAATCGTATTTGAGTCATCGTTACACTGAACAAGACGCAACACGAAGGAATGTTGAGATATGCAACAGAATGTGAGATAAGCTTGTTGACGCATAAAGTTACTATCAGTTTCACTGCAGAAATTCTTTAGATTAGAATTATTACTTACTAGTGCTATATAAAACCAAGCAGCTACATTCATGGAGTTAGTGTATGGTCGTTTGACCGCAGTGGATCTATCAATACTACATTTGTGTTACTTCAACGCATCAAAGGTCATGGATGTAAGTGTTTATTCTATTGACAAACTTACTTTTCCTTCTGTTATTTTCTTACGGGGTGTATGATTTAGTGTTAACAAATCATATTTAAATATTGTGTGTGTATATGATTAAGCCGTGGTAGCTCAGATGGTTAGCGCAAGCTGTAAATTTCACAGTACGCGACCCGGGTTCGATCCCCGCCGGCATCAATTAAATTGTTAATATGCTATTTTAAGTGTTGATTTACAACGTGCTCGGCGGTGAAGGAAAACATCGTGAGGAAACCTGTATGTCTGAGAAAATTTCGAAGGCATGTGAAGTTCGCCAACACGCATTGAGGCAGCGCGGCGGACATTTCCTAGCCCTGAATACAAAGACAATAGCAGAAAGTGAAAAAGTTAAAAAATACTTTTTTAACAATGACAGTCATTAGTTGTGATCATTAGTGAATGTGATTCTGTTTACTTAAATTACAGGAAGACAAGAGCAGAAGGAAGAGATGGGAAGTAATGAAGCATTGTTATGTGAAGTTTGTTGGAACAAACATATTTTTAGTCACGTGTAAATACTTTTAACTTTTTGGTTCAAAATGAATTAGGTATACATCATCGACATGGACGGATTTTACATTACATATCCTCATAAACATTTTCAATGTAAAGAAATGGCTATTCTAGACGTAAAACTATCTAATAAAAATTATGCGTTTATCGATCATTATTTGTTTCGGCCAATTTATCCTTTCAATTATTTGTTGCCAAAAGACAAAAAAACTGTTCGTTATTGCGAAACACACGTGCACGGCATTCCATATTTTGACGTGACCGAAGAATTAAAATGTGCCTACAAACAAGAGAACATCATTCCCATATTAAATTGGTATATTAGAAATTTGTGCAAAGACGAAGTGATCGCATACAAAGGTGGTTCAGCAGAAAAACAATTTTTAAAAATGTTGGCGACGAATGATGGAATTTTTAATATTGAAGAATACAAATGTCCAAAATACAATGATTTGGTAAATGTCATAAATTTAAACAAACGTTATGTGTGTAATAATCATATATTTGCAAAAAATAATCACATAATTTTACATTGTTCTTGTGACGAAGTGTGGGTTGTTTACAAGTGGTTATTGCTTGAAAATAAAATTTTAAATTAATCATAAATTTTGATTGATTTCCCAAAAACATTAGTTATAGTACACAATATATATTAATTGTTTACCTACACCAACACTTTAATTTTTTATTTCACCCCTTAGAACTTTAGACGTGTGTAATGTTTCACTTTATACATCCGTTTACTGATATTGTGGCAGGACCAAGTGAATGTGGGAAGTCAAATTTTGTAACAAATTTCATAAAATCGGTTACAGAAATATGTAATTGTGATTTTAATCAGATCACATGGTGCTTTGATGAAATGCAACCTTTATATAATTTACCAAATGTTAACTATCATCAAGGAATTCCAAATCTTAATACGTTTGTGGTGAAAACCCACATCTCGTTATTATTGATGATCTAATGAGAGTCCGATGTAACTTTAAACTCGAACAGTGTTTTGAATTAGAAATAGAAGATTTATAAAGAAATAAAAAATAATATATTGCATACAATTTGTTTTATTTAATTTTATAACGTTTCACATAGTTACATACACACAAAATGCATTACACATAACTCATAAAATCTAACACACAACACATATTATAACCTTAACTACTATAGTCTACAGTAACATTTCTGTTTTTATCTATCTCAATAATATTATCAAACTCAGCATAAACTATACAGTTAATTGTTTGTATTAGTGAGGATTCGAATCGTACTTCTAATCTTACACTACCACGCTTTATGATATTTCAATAAGCTGATGAGTTGGCTGATAAAGTAGGAGTTAAGTCAAATGCTAACAGACAGTAACCTTTGGCATACTGTTCACAAGAGATTCCATTTCCTTCATTAAGAAAGTGAATACCAGTTCCCGAGAATAGAGTATAATATGCTGAAGTAAATATACTATTATTAAAATATGGTTTCAAAGCTTTTGAAGGTATTTGTTGACCATCAATATATAAGCTGAAGGAATTAATACCATAGTTTTCAAAGTTAAATGGATTTTTAGTAAGGGATCCATTAAATGCAGAATTGTTCACAAATCCAATTATACATCTTTTGGGTACCTGTCCTAAAAATATATTATCAAGAGTTTTTTCTTGAACCCGATGGAATTGTTAAAACTTTTACTTCAGCTCGAGTAATAGGATATTTAGCAGTGGTAGAAGCTAAAACTTTTTGATGTGCGAGTAATACACTTGGATTAATTTGTGCTCGTCGAACAAAAAGAGTTGCGTCCGTAATGCAAACTTTAAACTTTACATCGTTTAACCCAGCAATTAAATTAAAACTCTCTCTTGATCGAACCAATTTAACACTCATTTCAACACCATTTATTAAAAATTTATCTTGCTTGAAAATGTCACCGTGAAGATGATCAATCATTTCTATTTCCTTACTTTCACTAATCAATTCCTGTCTTTTAACAAATCCTATGTTTTACCATCCGTAGAATCCATTTTTCCTGCTGTATTATCATACCAAAGACTACAAGTAAGATCAGATTGTTTAGCAGCAGGAGCATAGTTTAAAAGGATTTCCATCTATGCTCGATATCCATAGGTATTATTAGGTGGTGATACAAGTTTTTGGTTTAAATAAACATCAAGTTGACTAAAAAGTGAATGCAGCCAATTATTTACAGGTGCTACTATTGTAGTAGATATCAAGTTAGTTGAATCTTGATTTAATACTTTTGCCTTTATGTGGAGTAATGTATGAGACAAATCTATGTAGTCATCGCCTGTCCCAGGAAATTGAAACTCGATAGGTCCATCATCACCAAGAGATGAAATCGGTTTATAATGAATCCACAATCCATTTTCAATGCTAGTTTGTGTAGGCGGTAGTGCAAACAAATCCAATTCTGACTTAACGCACTCGCAAGAATGATTATGAAGGAAAGATATATTTAATTAATCTTATAAAAATATATCTTAGAAAATATATCTTTGATATTTTTTGGTTTGAGACTAAGTTTTTTCGCAGCTTGCACTTTAGCAGTTAATGGTGGAATGAACGAGGTCAATCGTTTTTTTTTTTAGTTTTATACCCAGATCCTGGCATGTTAAATTGATCAATTTTCTCATCAGCCTTTCGTTTTAAATTCGTACTTACTTGCTTTAGACGATCTTTTATTGAGGCTTCCATAGGACGCGCTTGAACCATATCCGATAAAAGTCCTACTCCAGCGCTTAATGCGTCCTTACCAATCACTTGACCGCGTTGGTATGGTGAACCCTTATAAATTACTCCAACTCCTGACCCAGCTTGATATGTGTAATAATTTTCATATGGACATTTATGATGATCAAGAAGAGAATTCATTATTATAATTTTCGGAAATGTAGTTTAATACACAGGGTTCCAAACTGGAATGTATTTTTTGTCCAGTGCTCTATCTTATAACTATTTCCAGCGTATCGAACTCTCTTCGCATAACAG